TTGGGCCCTTCTCTTTGGGGGTGGGTAGCATCCGCCCTGCCTTTGGGGGCATCCTGCTGCTTTTGGTGGTGGCTCCCCGTCCTTCCAGGAGCTGAAAGGGCTCCAGGCCGTATGGCCTTAGGCCGTCCTGACATACAAACTTCTGCAGTAACCCCCACACCACGCTGGGGAGCTGGCACGGGCTCTGAGTCGCCTGCGGGCCAGGGCAGAGACCAGCCGGGCACAAAGCTGAGACTGCCGGGAGCACAGCCCTGTGCGGGCAGACTGGGGCTGCCAGGGCTGGGCAGCGCAGAAGCAAAGCCGGGGCGTGGGCAGAGCAGGCTGGAGGTGTGGGATGGGCGCCGACGCCAGCCAGGGGAGAGAGGACTTAGCTGGACTCTGGAGATCGTTCTGCCGGGCTGTGCATCGCCCCAAGGGAAGCAGCCTTTGAAATGCAGGCTGAGCAGGGCGCATTAGCCGGCGAGGGGACTGCTCCCCGGCCGGATGCTGCAGGGGAGGGACGAGACAGATCCTGGCAGGGCCTCGGTTTCCATGGCCTGGCAGCGGGAGAAGCAACCTGTGAGTGCCGGGAGAGAGGCGAGTGAGGGTCTTCGGGTGCCCTCTGCTGGGCGTTCCTACGCCGAGCCACGCAGCCCTTCAGGAAGAGGGCTCTGCCGCGGCCGGGGCCGGGGGCTGGGGGCCGGGCGTGATGTGGCCGGAGCAGCAGGGGCGGGAGAGGATTCTGCCCTTGAGGCGTGGGGAGGGGATCAGAAGGGGAGTCTGTGAGGCCGGGTAACCACTGGGCGGCAAGGCGAGAGCGGCCAGACGGGCTGAGGAAGAGAGACGAGCGGTTTGGCTCCTGCAGTAGTGAGCTGCCTCCTTTATGCACTGGGACTCCTCCACAGGGGTGGGCCACACCCAGCCCCTGGGCCAGATCCGGCCCCCAGGCCTTTTGATGCGGGCTGCTCCCCTGGACCCAGGCAGGATGTCAAGCAGCCATCCCACAGAGCGTGCCCTGGTGACTGGGCACTGGAAACCCTTGGGAAATCTGGGCCTACGTGACTTAGGAGCCTACATGCCACAAGACATCTAAGGAACTGGGGGGCCACAGATGCTCGCCACCTTGGAAAGCAGGGCAGGAGCCCCTTGGGCGTGTTAGCGGCTGCTCCCCTGGACCCAGGCAGGATGTCAAGCAGCCATCCCACAGAGCGTGCCCTGGTGACTGGGCACTGGAAACCCTTGGGAAATCTGGGCCTACGTGACTTAGGAGCCTACATGCCACAAGACATCTAAGGAACTGGGGGGCCACAGATGCTCGCCACCTTGGAAAGCAGGGCAGGAGCCCCTTGGGCGTGTTAGCCCCCCCATGCAATCCCCCCGTGTCTCGCGCGTTCAGCTCAGCGGGTGCAGCCAATTCTGATTTAGTCTTACTGCTTCCTCCCTGCCTGCCCCTGCCCAGGCTTCACCCCCTGCGAGGCTCTGGGCACTCCCTCCCCTCCAGGACCACGCGGCCGCTCTCTCCCCCAGGGCCGGCTTGCACTCCGGGCAGGGGCCGAGTCTGTTCCCACTGCAACGACCTGCTGAGCACCAGGGTTCAATCCGTGCTGAAGTTGGGGGGGCAGCAGCACCGGGCAGGCCCTCTCCAGCTGCAGTGGGCAACGGCTTTTCCATCTTGGGCCGCAGGACTGCCCTATGGATCCCTGCCTCCCGCTGGCCCTCTACAAATGGGGGTGTTGTGAGCTGCCTCCCAGGTCTGAGCGGGCGTGAGGTCTGCCTGTGATCCTGGCTGTACCTAGCCAGCCCCGGGAGGGCCAGGTGGCGGCCGCCCATTTCAGAGATGGGGCAAGGAGGCGACAGCAGCCTCCCTCTTCCCCGATCCGCAGGACTGCCCTATGGATCCCTGCCTCCCGCTGGCCCTCTACAAATGGGGGTGTTGTGAGCTGCCTCCCAGGTCTGAGCGGGCGTGAGGTCTGCCTGTGATCCTGGCTGTACCTAGCCAGCCCCGGGAGGGCCAGGTGGCGGCCGCCCATTTCAGAGATGGGGCAAGGAGGCGACAGCAGCCTCCCTCTTCCCCGATCAGTGGCCGCAGTCACCCGCCACTACACACACAAATTGCATTTCCCGTGTTTTTTATTTACTGTGGCGCTTTTAATTAAATCCCTGATTGCTTGCCAGAGGGGCGTGGCCTGGCAGTGGCCGTGGGGAAGGCTTCTGGCAGGGCCTGATGCTGGGGAAGGACAGCGGCCTCACATATCGGCATGGGGGCGGATTTGAGTCCCCTACTTCAATCCCATGGATAAGAGACAGGGGGCTCCAGCGGAGAGTCCTAGGGTGGGACAACAGAGTGAAAGGGACATCTCTGAGCCCCTCGCCTGGGGCAATCCCCTCGGCCGGCAGCGTCAGGCTCTCTGCCCACCCCCCCCCCGGTTCCAGCCGGGGGTAGCAGAGGAGCAGCGCTGCTGCAGTGACAGCGGCTTCGTTGCACACAGCACAAAGCAGCCCGACCCAGCGGCCCTTGAAGGGCGAAGGAGCCGTTTGGGCAGAGCAGGGTGGGGGAACGAAGCTCAGCCCACGGATGATGCGCTGACCCTGGGGATCTGCTGCAATAGAGCCAGGCAAGATTCCTGCCCCATCCGCTTAGCGTGGGCCTTGCGAGTGGCTGTGGCACCGAGAAGCGTTTCCAAGGGACACGGTCCCAGCCCCCCACCGGCATGGCGCTTCGGCCAGGGAGTCTGGGGAACACGGGCAGGTGCTGGAGAGCCTTGGAATGACTCCTGGGAGTTAAGGCTACGTGACTGTTTCTATCCCAAGTCTCTGTGTTTAGGGACGGACAGTTTTCTGAAATCTTCTCCCTCCGGCTTGGAACTTTCCAGCCGTGCCCCAGGCCCACAATGGCTCGTAGTTCGCTTAAAGTGTGAGCAAAACCTGTCCATCCGTTCTTGAGAGGATAGAAAGCAGACCAATGCCTCTGCCATCCCAAACCCAAACCCTCTGTGGTCTCTTTTGGAGCTTCTCTGCGGCAGGGGGGTGGGTGCCTGACGTTTGGGAGAGGAGTTGCCCTCTCTCGGAAATGCCTTAGAACGTAACGTTGTGTTCGTCCCCTGAAAAGCAGGCCTCGTGCATGCGTGGGGACATGTTGCTTGGCAGCTCCTTGCTAAGCATATAGCTATAGCTGCTGCCCTTTGTCCCAAGCCGTTAGCCAGAATTCCAAGCCCTGCAGGGCTGGTTCCATTCAGACGAACAGTCAGTGGGAGAGGTCGGGGAGTTTGGGTGGGGGTTGAACCCTAAGCACATCTCAAAGCGCTTTCCAAAGGGAAGTCGGGTAAGAATGGACACGCTGGGTCAGACCAAAGGGCCATCCGACTCACTGTCCTGTCTGCCGACGGGCCAATACCAGGTGCCCCAGAGGGAGTGAACAGGAATCATCAAGTTGACCCCTCCCCTGTTGCCCATTCCCAGCTTCTGACAAATATAG